TTTTTCTATCATGTGTTTAGTTATGCCTAATAATTTTAATAGGTCTGATCCTTTTTCTGAGATAATAGAATGGGTGTTAGTTTTAGTTTTTTTCACATGTGGAATTTGAAGCTCTAATTTATCGATCTAAAGAATGAACTAGAATCAATCTTTTTCCTGTTTTTGCCACTGTAACACCAAATTGCAAGTAAAATCTTTAGATGAATTAAAGTACATTTTATTTAATTAAAAATTTTTTTTTTTGTTTTGGTTATTGATTTTACAGAGAGAGGAAAAGAGAGAAACATTGATGAGAGAGAACATTGATTCGCCATCTCCTGCATGCCCCACACCCCGTATCAGGCCCACTACCTGGGATGTGCCCTGACCAGGAACTGAACCAGCAACCTCTGGGTGCAAGGGTCGATGCTCAACCACTGAGCCACACCGGCCAGGCTAAAGTATATTTTAATAGTATTTTAAATATAGTATGGGATATATGTATGTATGTATTTTCATTCAAAATAAATAAATCTTAAAATATTGGAGCTTCCTTAAATCCTACCCTAGGGCTGCAAATAGGTAGTACTTTCCTCGTATGTCCTGATAGATTTTCTTTTTTTTTTTTCATCCTCACCAGAGGACATTTTTTTTTTGCATTTATCTTCAGATAGAGTGGGAGGGAGAGAAGGAGGAAGTGAGAGAGAAACATTGACGTGAGAGCAACACATCGAGTGGTTGCTACCCACATGACCCCAACCGGGGCCGGGGACAAACTGCAACCAAGGTACGCGCCCTTAGCGGGAACCAAACTCGGGATTCTCCGGTCCGTGGCTGAAGCTCCAACAGCTGAGCTAAACTGGCCAAGGCCTGATAGATTTTCTTTTTTTTTTTATCCTCACCCAAGGACATTTTTCGATATTTTGGACATTTTTCGATATTTTGTTCAGATAGAGTGGGAGGGAGAGAGAGAGAGAGAAACATCGACGTGGAAGGGACACATCAAGTGGCTGCCACCCACACGACCCAGGTATGTCCCCAGGGCCGGGGACAAACTGCAACCGAGGTATGTACCCTTAGCGGGAACCGAACCCGGGTCTCTCCAGACCGCAAGCCGACGCTCTAACCGCTGAGCCAAACCGGCCAGGGCCTGAGAGATTTTCTTAACCAATCATAGCACTGCTTCTGCCAAGGCAGATACATAATTGGAATCTTTCTCATTAATTCTGTTTTCAAGTAATTTAATGAATCCATTTTGCCAGTAAATAGCTTGTATAAGTCAGAAACAATACTGGGTCAAAATTTCTCTGTTTTTAATCTAATTAAACATTTCTATATTCATCTTTCAGAATTATTCCCTCATACTATTATGAAAAAGTAAATATAGAAGGTCTTTTAAATTTCAAAACACATAATACTAATTATATTCATTAGACTCACAACTTTAATAAATTCATGGAAATGTATTTTAATATTTTGAAAATTTATGACTTCTCAAAAACAGCATTTACTCATAATTAGCATATTAAATATTTGGATTAATATTGTATTTTATACCCCATATAATTTCCTCATAGCCACTTAAATCACATGTAATTTAGAATTTGGTTCACTTAAAAATTTGATTTTCTCATATACTGAAGAAAATTACTCAATAGGCAAATTAACACTGTAAATATGAGGAGGTTTTTTATGTTCACTTAAGGAGCTGAATTATTTTTAAGAACATAAGTAGCATCATTTGCATATATAAAATTAATGTATAGATGAACATCATCTAATATTAAAGTGCAGTCTCTACTTTGAAAACATTTTATAGGCAATCAGTTCACATTCTTATATGCTTTGAAACCAATTAAGCTACTTTTATTTTTAAATTCTAACATCAGTCTTTCACTAATTCATAGTGGCCTACTCCCTCCCCTGTTATCAGTCAAATTTTTGTGTAGGTTATCAAATATATCCATGCATTGAACTTTTCCTTCCTTAGTCTTTATAGTGACTAGTATAAAGGTTTGTCTTTCCTTTTTCACTGTGGACCTTGAAGCCAAAGTAAGCAGCTGTTGCATAATACTGAGCTAAAAACTATACTGGATCAAGAAGGATTGAGAGGTGAGGAGAGATCAGTGAGGTACTTTCCTTTGGGAATACCCCATAATCTTGTGCCAAGTTCATTCTAATTCACAGCTTAGGACAATAAGAAATTGTCTTGGTTTCTGCAGTACTTCACAGGCAGTTTTTAAGATTAAAAAAAAAAAATTCCTAGGAGAGATAGACGCTTCTCTGTCATTTCTGCCGTGATCCATTACTTTTACTTTTTGCTGTGGGTTTTTTTTGTTTAGAAGTAGTTATAAGTTAAATGTAAAAATTGGCTAATTGAAGTTACTGACATGACTTTTCTATTCCACATGCTTTAGTAGATATAGAAAATGGTCATATTATCTGTAGCTTACTGTAAAAGCATGTTAATATGATTTTCAAACATAATTTTGATAATCACCCTTAATAAAGGAAAAATATTTTTATATCACAATAAAAATTAAAATTATTTTTTTCAAATATACCATTTTATTTTTCTCTATGCATATTCTCTTTTTCTATTTATCATCACAGAGAAAATTTTCTCTCTTTGTAATGTATCTTATTGATTAAAGTTCAGCCAAATTAATAGCTAAATGAGACTAAGTAGAAACCAAGAAAGAAATATTTTTTAAAATGAATGTGTCCTTTTTTTACATAGGCATTAAAGGATTATGCAAACAAGTTATGGAAAGCTGTTTTTGTTTGTTTGCTTTGTTTTGTTTTGATTTTTTTATATATCTTAATTGATATTTTAGAGAGAGAAGAGGGGAGAGAGAGAAAGAAAGAAACACCAATTGGCTGTCTTCTGCACGCCCCCTACTGGGGATGGAGCCTGCAACCTGGGCATGTGCCCTGACCAGGAATGATACCGGGACCTCTCAGTCCACGGGATGATGCTCAATCCACTGAGCCATACTGGCCGGGCAGAAAGTTATTGTTTTAATAAAGCAGTTTGTATTAGGCATCCAGTAATTTGATTTTTTTCCATTGTTACATCCTTTTGTTCTCTATTCTCCCAAATATTTAATATATCTTGATGAGAGAAATTATCCTATTCATTCTTATAGAACTGTATTTAGGTGATTTAAAAAAAAAAAAGCTATATAGGTAGGTATTCTGTGATTTGAAATATTTGAGGCTATTTTTCCTGTTCATGGATTCAGAGTAATAGTGGAGTTTTGAATACTGTTAATGGTATTTTGTCGTTCTGATGCTGTTAATATACAATAGACTATTGTAGCATACTTGAGAAACTCAATGGCCACAGAGGAATGATTTTCAAGATGCTAACATTTGGGTCTATCAGAAACAAAGGCAGCTTGTTACCCAATCGCTCTGTAATGAAAACAGTTAGTGGTTTACTTTTAAATCATTAAGGGTAGCAAGAATCACCATTTATTGATGCAAAGTCTCAGCCATGAATGAGAGGGACCAAAATAGAAGAACCTGGAGAACCCTTGCATTGAGCATCAGAAAAACTGAAAATGTTTCTTGGTATCTTCAGAAATAAGAAAAGATGTTGCATCTCTAAAACAAAATTAGTATGCTGTGGGAAGGAAAACTGGAGAAGGAGAGAAATTTAAAATAAGATATTCAATTAAATTTTGTTCAATAGAAGAGTTGGAATATAAACTCAAGCAAATCTCCCAAAAACGGAACAGAGGACAACATTGGAATATGACCGTGGAAAAGCTTAGAGTCAGTTCAGTAGTTTCAACATTGGAAAAAGAAGTATCCTGGAGACAGAAACAATGCTTTTAAAAAGAACATAAAATATTATAGACCTAAAAAATACAAGTCTCCAGGTTGTACCGTGTACAAAAATGTAAATACCTAAAACAAGGCCTATTATCATCAAATTTAAAATCATTGAGAATAGATACAATATCCTAAAAGCTTTCAAAAAAGGAATGGGGCACATAAAGAAGTGTGCTTCAGAGTGGATCTGGACATCTTATCAACCTTGCCAGCTTCAAAATAATGGAATGATATGAAATTCTGGTGGCTAACCCTTTTTGTTGCGGAGCGCCACTATCAGCCCCTATCAGTCATGGATCAATAGCTCAGAAATGCTGAGACAATAACAAATTTTGCTGGCACTCTTTTTTATGACACTGTTGAAGGAATGCTCCTGTGGAATTATGGAGAATAGAATAGTCGAGAATTAGGAGGACACTGGATTCAGGAAAAACAGGATTGAAAAGGAGACATTCAAGTATTATAGCTGGTTCATAATGAAAGCAACACATGCTTGAAGAATGTAAGAGTAGCATTTCCAGGGGAGTGGGGGGCGGGGGGATGAATATGGAACTGGTCAATTATATAATATATTGAATGTTTAGAAAATAGTATTGGTTTTTGATAGACCTGATGGAGCTTCTGGAAAACATTAGCATAGATACATAGAACATTAATAAAAAAAATTTAAAAGAGGCAATTGTTAACTCTATGAAAAATTCAACATTGTGACAAAAGAAACTTCGTAATAGTATACCAGTTGGCTCTGCAGTGAACACTCTTTGCAGTTATACCAATGGAAATACTATTCATTTCACTAAAAATAATGCAGTGATTATGTAGTGAAGAGAGGGATAGAGTAGTTTAAAGAGCTAAATTCTCATTTACCTTAACAGAGAAGTTAGTAAATATTGCATAAAAATAAATGTAGAAATAGCAGGATAAGTATTTTAAAATAGGGAAAAACAAAGAAACATCTAAAAGAATTAAATATAGGTATCTCTTGAGGATGACAGGGGTCCACTGTTTTTTTTTTTAAATAAACTCTTAGTATTGAGGGCTTTTTAAAAGTATTTGCAAATGTCCCTTTTCCATAAGTAAAATTTAATTTTAAAAGGAACAATGGTATTTAAAATGTCAGGGAAATAGAATAATTATGGATTGTAGTCAAGTTTTTACATTTTTGTCTTCTTATTTTTTAGAGTTCCTGGAATAACTATTGTCACAGATATTATCTGTGGTTTTCCTGGAGAAACGGATCAAGATTTTCAAGACACAGTGACACTTGTTGAAGAGTACAAATTTCCAAGCCTCTTTATTAACCAGTTTTACCCAAGACCCGGAACTCCTGCTGCAAAAATGGAGCAAGTCCCAGCACACGTGGTAAGATGCTTCTCTGTAAGGTATTGTGTTTAGCCAATAACTGTAAAAATGCATCTGTGTGGCCTATTTTAAAACACTTGGCTTACAGGATAATCCTAACATAAAGGGTGGAGAGTTTGCCAAGTTTAGTTAAATCGTTGGATAAGTTAAATGACCGTAGGCAATAAAATGTCACCTTTTTTTCTTTTCAAGGAGGAGATTCAGATGACAATGGGAAAGAAAATTTTAACTAACACTAGTATTTGCCTGAGTTTATAAAGTAAATTCTTGGATGTTTCCAAATCAGGCAACATTTAAATATCTATGAGCAAAGGAGGCATCATATTTATGCTGCTTTTCAAGAGACTCTCCCATAATTTGTAAATTATTGGAGGTCCAGGCTTTCCTATTTTTTCCATGGTATAGATTTTCTTTCTTTCTTTCTCCTTTCTCCCCTCCCTTCCCCTCCCCTCCCCTCCCCTCCCCTCCCTCCCTCCCTCCCCTCCCCTCCCCTCCCTCCCTTCCCTCCCCTTCCCTTCCTTCCTTTGTTCTCTTCTCTCTCTCTCTCTCTCTCTCTCTCTCTCTCTCTCTCTCTCTCTTTCTGGTATGTGTTGCTTTTTCCAATGAAACTCAATAGAATTTTATTCAAAAAGCTTTGTGAACTCTAACTTGCGGTTCAGACCAGGAGTAGAACATTACCATCCCCCAGAGGTTCCCATCATGCCCTTCCCTTTTCATCCTCCCACTTCCCAGCAGAAATCACTAGGCCATATTTTAATGTTGTACTTGAGTTTGACTTGTTTTTAAACTTGACATAAATTAAAGAATTCATCCGTGTTGAATGACTTTTCTTTAACTTTGTATTGGTGAGACTACTATGTCTTTGTAAGTAGCTGCTGTTCATTCATTTTTATTGCTATATGGTGCATGTAAATCCCAATTTATTCATCCTAATGCCAATCGTAATCTGAATCTCCAAGTGATTTGTGTATACATTAAAATTTGTGAAGTGCTGTTCTAGTTAACTAATCCTCTGGTCATCTGTTTTTAATCTGTTGTCAAACCATCTATAAAGTTTCTAATTTTTGTTTATTTTTAACTTCTATAATTATAATTTGATTCTTATTCACAGGTTCCAGATTTCTAGTGAAATCCTCATATATTATTTTGTATTTTTTTGAATATCTTACTCAGTTATCTTAAAGCCCATGCTGAATTCTCCAGTATCTGGATCTAATGTTGGTTTGTTTCTGTTGTCCTTTTTTTTCTTCATGTTGGCCAGTTGTCTTCCCTTTTAATGCACCTGATGACCATTGTTTATTTTTTAAAAAACTGTAGGGCCCAGCTGGTGTGGTTCAGTGGTTGAGCATCGACCCATGCACCAAAGGTCACCAGTTCAATTCCCAGTCAGGACACATGCCCAGGTTGTGGGCCCGATCCCCAGTGGGGGACATGCAGGTGGCAGCCAATCAATGTTCTCTTTCATCGATGTTTCTATCTCTCTCTCCCTCTCCCTTCCTCTCTCTCTAAAAATCAATAAAGAAAAATAAGTTTTTTTAAAAAACAAAAACTGTAGGTTCTACAGTTTTTAAATCTTCTTCTGGGAAGATTTAATTTTGTTTCTGCCAGGCTCTAAGGTAAAGACTGGTTATTTTAATTGGTGTGAGATTGATTAGTGAAACTGCTTAAACTGCTTTTCAGTCTATCTGAGGACTGGTTTATTTCTGGTTTACCTTACTTAAAAAAAAAAAAAATTATCTTTATTGTTGAAAGTATGACAGATATCCCCCTTTCTTCCTCCATTGACCCCACTCCCCCCACCCCTCCGTCCAGGCCTTTATCACACCATTGCCTGTGTCCAAGGGTTATGCATGTAAGTTTTTTTGTTAATCTCTTCCCCCACCTTTTCCCTCTGAGATCCCCTGCCTCCATGACTCTGGATCTGTTTTGTATATCAGTTTATTTTGTACATTATATTCCACAAATAGTGAGATCACGTGGTACTTGTCTTTCTCTGACTGGCTTATTTGGCTCAGCATAAAACTGCCCAGGTCCCTCCCTGCTTGGTGTGCCGTAGTGTTTGAATGCAGCCTGTGGGTGCTGCTGTTTAACAGCTGACTCAGCGGGAAGCGCCCTGCGCTAGCACTTGCCAGTGTCCACGGTGTAAACACGTCCGCTGTGCCAGCTTCAGACTACCAACGTGATGTCGCTGGACGTGAACCCAGAAGAGGTGCCGCTGTGGGGGTGGGAGCTGGGTCCCACACACAACAGAGTGGGGCTCCTCTGTAGTGGTAACCAGGGCCTGTCTTTATGGTGGGTCCTAAACACTCCCGTCGGCCTCCCGGGCTCCTGGAACGCAGAAGCCTCGGAGCTTCTGCTCGGCTGCTCTGCCTCCAGGCGCTGCTCACACGCTGAGGATGCCGGCGGGAGGAGGCTCGCGCTGGACCTGATGGGCGGCCCTGCCCTCTGGAACCCTGGTCCCTTGGGTCCTCGTGGCCTCGGTAGCTTTTTGATGATCAAATGGTACACATTATAAATTGCATTCACCTTTTCTTATTATTCTGGGCAAGATGTTGGTCTGATACAAGCTGGTTTGCCTTGGCCAGAAACAGAGCAGAACTCATGGCCTCAAACCAGCTTGCAGATGCTTCGCTGTTGTCTTTTATCTCGTAAACATAGCCCTTGGCATCTTCCTTACATGTTCAGACTTTGGACACCCGGTCCTGGCAGAGCAGAACCTTTTATTTTTTAGATTTAATATTTTAGAGCAGTGTTAGGGTGATAGCAGAACTGAGTAGAAAGCAGATGGAGCTCACATATATTCCCTGCTCACATTTCATTCGGCCTCCCACAGTATCAGCCCCCATCACAGGGATACATTTGTTACATTGATAAACCCACATCGATACATCGTTATCCCCCAAAGTCCACAATTTACATTACATTTCACTGTTGGTGTTTTATATTCTATAGGTTTGGAAGAATGTGTAAGGACATGTACCATCATTATAGTACCGTATAGAATAGTCTCACTGCTCTGAAACCCTGTGCTCCACCTGTTTGGCCCTCCCTCTTCCGTAACACTCGGCCACCACTGGTATTTTTACTGTCTCTGTGGCCTCGCCTTTTCCAGAATATCATGTAGTTGGAATCATACCTTATGCATTCTTTTCATACGTTTATTTCACTTAGGCTTCTCCTGTCTTTTCACAACTTGACAGGTCAGTTCATTTTAAAACAACATGAATGTATTGTCTCACTGTTCTTGAGACCAGAAGTCCGAAGGCCCCTGCTCCCTCTGGACCTGTACAGGAACCTTCCTCACCTCTTCCTAAATTTGGGTGGTTTGTGGTAATTTTTGTCTTTCACTTACAGCTGCATTATTACAGTCATTGTCACCCCGTGTCCCTATGTTTCTGTCTTCACATGGCTGTCTTCTTTTAAGGACCCCAGTCATAGTAGATCAGGAACTCTAGTTACAACTGCAGGACCCCATTTCCAAATAAAGTCACATTCTGAGATGCGGGGGTTAAGACTTCAACGTGTTTATTTTTGGGGAGATACACGTCTAAGCATGTTCTCATTTCTGTAATTATGCTCCAGGTAAAAACTGTAGCCTGAAAGAATTTTATCTGTGTAATATCTTGAACCCTAAATAAAGGGAAACAAGCATTAATAATAAAACCCTAGAGATCTGCCATGAAAGAGGATATGTGATGTACATTTAGTCTTTTTTGTTCTAAATTTATCAAAAATTAATAATTGTCTACCTATCTCACGAAGTTTGTGAAGCTGCTTAGCAACTAGACTTCACTAAAATGAAACACAGCAACAAAATGGGTAGCAATTCTTTAATATAGTTCCCATTTTCTTGCCCCCCAAAAATCAACAATGAAAGTAGAATCTGGCCCAGCTGGTGTGGCTCAGTGGTTGAGCGTCGACCCATGCACCAAAAGGTCGCTGGTTTGATTCCCAGTCAGGGCACATGCCCAGGTTGTGGACCAGATCCCCAGTTGGGGGCAGGAGGAGGCCAATTGATGTTCTCTGTCATCAATGTTTCTATCTCTAATGTGCTCCCTTCCTCTCTCTCTCTCCAATATCAGTAAAGATAAAAATTAAAAAAGAAAGTAGAATCTGAACCATTATTGCCCTGACCATTTTGGCTTAGCAGTTAGAGCATTGGCTTGCAGACCCAAGGGTCACAGGTCTGATTCCTGGTCAAGGGCACGCACCTGGGTTGCAGATTTGATCCCAGGGCCCTAGTCAGGGTTGTACGGGAGGCAACCAATCGATATGGACACATTGATGTTTCACTCTCTCTTTCTCCCTCCCTCCCTCCCTTTCTTGCACTCTATCTGAAAAAAATCAATGGAAAAATATCCTCTGGTGAGGATTAACAAAAAATAAATGAATAAGTAAATAAATTAAATAAACCATTACTGGAAGAAGTGCACAATACCAGTTGCTGTCAAACAACAGTGTTTTATTCCTGATTTAGAATGCCTCTTAATGGAAACATACTGTTTTCTTAGATATATTTATTTCTGATAAATTCAAGCCCCCAGAAATGTTCTCCCCATTTGAATGACATAAAATAAATAATTTCAGTACACTTTTCCCTTTCTTTATAGCTACTTCTACATGAATACTAGCATTAATACAAATAACTTCCATTGTATTTAGTGTTCTATAGTAGAGTTCTGATAAATAAACTAAATGTTTTTCTTAATCATTTACAATCACCAAATGGATAAAGCACTGTTCAGTTGAGTCTTCCATTTACATAGGTGGGAGGGGTGGATTTTTTGCTAATCCTGCTACAAAAAAAGAGTTATAACCTTCTTAAATTTGTAATGAAAATTAACGAGGCAATATATTTTTATGAACAGAATAAACTAAAATTTATTTATTTTTTTTAGCTTTTGCAAGATTATCAATGTATAAGAAATTTAATAGTGAAATTACCTAAACCAAATGAGAGTGACCTTAGACTTTTAGAGGAAAGGTCAAATTTGCATATT